GCCTGGGGCCGTTTCCTCTTGTCCCATCACTGTTAAGGAGCAGTTCACCTTCGGTTGGGGGGTTGGAGTTCTTTGAGGGATGGGGTGGTTGTTTTTGTGTGTTAAGATGAAAGCATTGGCTTGGGAAACCCAAGTGGTGAAGTAGGAGGAAAGGAGGAGATAAGCGACTGATGAGGTCAGGAATCACTGAAGTATGAGGCACTGCTGGCATCAGATGTGCAAAAAACAGTGGGGTTGCACCAGTTGAGGTTGGGTCTGTGCTGATGGTGCCAATGTAGAGGATCGTGTTTTTCACATGTGCTGGAAGATCTGTTAATACAAGCATGGGAAAAGCAAGCAAATCTTTACATTGGCAGCTCATTTGCTGCTGGTCAAAGGACATTGAGTACCTTCAGCCCAATGGTCAAGGTAGTGTTGGAGCATGGTCATGGGGAAGCCCTTGAAGGGCAAAGCGAAGTTCCTGAATGAGATTGCTGAAATTTGGCCCCAAAAGCCTTCTTTAGGAGGCCATTGCCCATTGCAGTGACAGCATCTGATTGGTGGTGGTGCTCCCAGGTACATCTTCTGGATGTCCTTCAGGGCTGGGGTGTGCCCTGCATTTCCAGGGGTCCCTTCTGTGCCTGCTTCCATGGTCTGGAGTTACTGATGGTTTTGTGTGTGATAAAAGCTTATGATTTTCAGTCAGTTCATTATGTGGGATGAGTGAGCTCTGTGGGTAGCGCTGTGGCTCTGGGAAATGAACTTGCAGCTACAAGAAACTGGATTCTTTTGTGTTTAAGCAGAGATGACTGTTTTTACAAGAAACACCCAAACGCACTTCTGTGTTTGTAGAAAAGCTGGAGGAGCTTGACTTTGGAGGAGGAAAAGGCACATTAAAAGCCATAAGCAGCAAGTGCCTGGAGTTGGTCTTAGCTTTGGTATGGGAAGATGATGATGAGGGATGGATTTGGAGCTCTTCTCTTCCCACCTTGTGGCCAAGGGTAGATGGAGGATTGTCCCTGCACTTGTACCACTTGAGGGGCTTACTCTGCATCACTTGGGGAGAGCAGGCACACAGGGATGTAGGTAGTGTGAGGCTGACCCATTTACGTCATGGTGGCTCCTGCTCCTATTGCTTCCCTTGGACATTCGTGTGCTGAGGTGGGATGGAGCCTGCAGCTCCAGGGATGGTTGGGAGGTGTGGGATGAGCCGGAATGTCCATCAGTGCTCCGCACCTCCCTTTGCTGTGTACTGCCCTAGCTTTGGCTGCACATTGGAAGGACCTGGCTCCATCTCCAGCCTCGATGGTGCTTGGTACTGCCCAGAGCTCCTAAGCCTCCAGGGTGTTATCAGCCCAAATTCTTGGCAGTCAGGGGTTTTCCATCACTGAGGCTCTTGGGAGGGGTTCTTTCCCACCTAAGTTGGGCTGCAGCCAGTGCTTGCTGGAGAAGACCTGCCCTTGGCCAGCAGCAGCTGCTGGGCTAGGGCTTTGATTTATAGCTCGGTATCCAGGCAGTACCATGATCCCATCAGTACCAGCTTGGCACGATGGATGGATTTGGGAGCATTGGAGAGGATGGGTCTCTGCTGCTGGCACCACCCTTGGCTCTCAGGGGGGTCCCCCATGGTCTGTGGTAGAGAGGAGATTTGGCATCCTCGCTGCTCCCCAGCTTGCTCCCTCCCAACAGCATCTCTGTCCCTTGCAAAGTACCCAGCCTCTCTGCAAGAGGAGCATGGCTAGGCCTGCGTGTCCCATCTGTCCCTTCCTAAAAGCCTTATTCATAGCCCCAGCTAATGCAGGGTTAAATCCATGCTTGGCAAGTCCCTGCTGATGACAGCTCTGCTGTTCCCCTGGTGGATGACTCACAGGATGGGCATCCTCGTGATGTCCCTGGAGAGCAGGCACCAAGCAGGTGGGGAGGGGAGGTGAAGCAGCCTCTGTGTCACCCCACAGAGGAGCAACACGTGTCCAGAGAGAATCCCTGCTGCCATCATACCAAGGGCAGCACCATCCCTGCTGCTCCCGTGCCCTGGGAAGCTGGTGAGGGTTTGCAGGGTGCCAGCCAGTAGCTATGAGAATGGGCTCATTGGAGCTTCCCTAAAGCTTTGCCTGTCCTTCCACAAAGCCTATTTCAGGATCTTGGAAAGAACAGTGACTTAGCTGGCACCAAGGGGTGTAACCACGATGGAGCCCTGCATCCATACTGCCTGTTGGTGGGGGAAGGATGCAGCAGGTCCTCCTGGCTTGTGTGTTTGTATTTTGCCTACAAGAAACCTGGATAGGGACTGTTTTTTTCCTAGCCTATATTTAATCCTAGTCAGTATTCCCAGTGCTTTCAGAGGAGTTTGCAGGCCATTGTCTTAGTGGCTGCAGAAGTGATTTCTAAGCAAATCTTCCCCTGTCCACCCTTGTTCCTCCCCCCCATCCTGCTTCTGAGTGTCCCTGTTTATTCTCCTATAGCCTCAGTTTAAAGTCTGGCTGCTTACCTGTCCTGCCTCTACATTCAGAAACGTCTTGGTTCTGTCAGCTCCAAAACACAGCTTCCACCCCACATCCAGCCATGCACCCCCATCCTTTCATATGTGAGAGCATTGCTCCATCCCGAGCAGACTGAGATGCAGCCAAGCTCCTGCTTTTGGGAAAGGAAATACCTTTTCATACTGGCTCATTTTGATGTATGTTCTTGTTGCTTTTGGAGAGGTGTGGGTAGAGGGGGATATTTCCCAGCTGTTGCTCCACAGAACCACATCTGTCAGGCCCTTAGCATAAAGATTCCCATAGAATTCTACAGTTAGAGGAAGGGGATGCATCCCTGCAAATGCCAGGCACTGTGGGGCTTGTGGGTTTGTCAGTGCACGGCTGCAGTGATTGATGGCAATGTTAGTTAATGCTGGGTTATGAGGCAGGTCTTTATATTCATGGCTTGCACTGTGATTGACAGGGGAAATCACCTACCTGTGGCTGGTTTCTGCCTTGCCTCGTGCAGTGCTTACCAAGCTGAGGTCACCTTTGGGCTGTTGAGGTGTTTCTGGGGTTTTATCACAGGGTTGTGATAAAACCAGGGTTGTTTTTATCACAGGCGTTGCTAAAATGGGTGAAAACTTGGCCACTTGAGCTATGTCTGCAGTGACGATGCTGAACCCCTTGTGCCTGTGTAGCTGGGGTGGGTTTGAACCCTGCAGCTGAGGGTTGGAGGGACCTACAAGAGCCCATGTCGGGTCTGCAGGATCTCTTTAGGGGGAGTCAGGAAGTGTTGAGTAAGTGCTTAGTAAGCATTTAGTAAGTATTTAGTAGCATTTCCAGGCCTTCATCTGCCCCCTCAACAACTTGCAGTTCCAATCAGTGCTTTGCACTGATGAGGAGCAAGCCCCTGCCTGTGGTGCAGGGCAGTTCCAAGCCCCCCTGTCTTACCTGCTCTGATAAGACTTGTCTCAAAGCCTGGTTTCTGTGTATTTAATGCCTGCCAAGCCCTCTCCCCTCCCAGCAGGACCTGAAATAATGCTCTTCTCAAAGAGAAAAGCATTTCCACACAAGTTCTCCCTTCCCTTTTCTGGCTGGAGCCCGGTGCATCCCTTCCAGCTACCCGCATTCCCAGCATACCAGTGCCGGGGGATGGTTTGGGAAGCATTTCAAGCAGGCTGGAGTATCTCCTGCTCAGGCTTTCCCCTGCGGATTTCCTCTTACAGCATTCCAGAAAAGGGCACCAAATCCTCCAGGGCTTCTGTGCTGGAGGAGAGAGCCCCACTAGGTTAGAAACAGCCTTACAAGTGGTGCTTGACTTCCCCTTCCCATTGGCTCTGTACTCCTACCTAAGGAACATAAGTTTAGGGGCGATTTTCTGCTTGATTTAACTGTCAAGATGAGGGATTTAAGGGGGGGGCGGGGGGAGAGAAAGGAAAAACAGCATTGGGAGTGACACCAGCTGAGGTCTTACCAGCGCTTGCATCAGCCACAGCATTGGCAGTCCAAGTGCTGTGTGTTCTGCAGCAGTGGGAGATGGCTCAGGCTCAGCTCGCGTCTGGGATGCTCTGATGCAGCATTCCCCAGGGATGCTGGAAGTGCTTTTGGAAGCATTTCTAGAGGGAAAAAGGAGATAAACCCCCTCTATCTGTGTTTTTTCCTCAAGTAAAGCAGGGCAGTTGGTACAAGAAGGGATGTTTTTCTGCCTGGTCCATGCCTGGTTGGCTAGGATGCAGTAAAAGCCGGTCCTCATCCCAGGATATTCCAGTGTTGCAATGGGAGAGAGTGATGACCTGATTGAACATGCAAAAATCCACATCCTGTGGGCCTTCCACGCTCTAACCTCTGCCCTGGGCTCCCACAGCATCTGAGTGCTTGATGGCTTTATAAATATGTATTAGAGCAATGTAACGTGTAAGTGCCCTGAAAGCTCTTGTGAAGTAGGGAGAAGGACCAATTTACGAGCCTTGGAGCAACATAACCCCAAATAACTCTTACAGGCATGAGGGCTGCTTTGTACAGGATTGTAGCCAGCAGTAGTGTTGTGCAAGACCAGGCTGTCCTTGCTGTCCAAAGCCTGTACTGATTTGTAGGTGATGCTGTGCTTACTGTGACCACCCAGGTTATTGTTGTGGAGAACATGAGGATGTGAGAGCTGGGAGAAGAGAAGGCTCCTTAAGGGGAGACCTCAGAGCAGCTCCAGTGCCTGAAGGGGCTGCAGGAAGCCTGGAGAGGGGCTTTGGACAAGGGCCTGTAGGGACAGGCCAAGGGGAATGGCTTTAACCTGCCAGAACAGGGGAGACTGAGATGAGCTCTTAGGCAGAAGCTCTTCCCTGTGAGGGTGCTGAGGCGCTGGCACAGGGTGCCCAGAGAAACCGTGGCTGCCCCATCCCTGGCAGTGTTCAAGGCCAGGTTGGACACAAGGCTTGGAGCATCCTGCTCTAGTGGAAGGTGTCCCTGCCTGTGGCAGGGGTTGGGAATGGGTGAGCTTTGAGGTCCCTTCAACACGACCCAGTCCCGGATCTCCCGTACGGACCCCACAGGGTGGGTCCAGAGCCTTTGCTAACGCGCTGCACTCTGTTCCTCTCCCCAGGCTGGTTGCTGGCGGTGACGCCGGGTCCCTGCAGCCGGCTCTGCCCGCGGACGGGCCATGGCTCCCTAGTGCTCCCCGGCCGGGCGGCGATGGCGGCGCAGCGCATCCGAGCGGCCAACGCGGGCGCGCTGCCGCGGTGCAAGTCGGAGGGGACGCTCATCGACCTCGGCGAGGGCCTGGCCGAAACCAGCCTCTGCGATGTCAAAGGTGGGTCGGGGTCCCACGGGATGGGTGCGATGATGTCCCCGCTCCCCTGTGGTCCAGGACAGAGGTGATGGGGAAGCGCATCAAGTGCTGCTGCATCCATGAGGGCAAGGATGGGCTGGGACCGAGCACCAAAAGGTCCATCAGCTCAGACAAGTGACAGTACCAAGGTGTTCGTTTTCCTCTCCACTGGAGCTGGGAGCTTGCAGGTTGCTTGAATAATCTTTATTTCTTCCTTTTACTGCTGTTTCTCCAGCTGTATTTTACCTTACCCAGCAGAAAAGCTGTGTTCAGGGAAGAAGGGAGTTACTGCTCCCCTGGCAGAAATGCATCCCATGAAATAAATCCAGGTGGAAGTTAGCGTGAGCCGAGGGCCTTTAAAAGGAAACATGCACAGAAGTGATTGCTTTTGCTTGTGTAGCAAGAAGAAAGCGAACATCAAACAAATCTCACTGCAAATGAGATTGTTTTGAATGCAAAAATAGGAATTACTCATATTCTCCAAGGGGCTTGCTGGCTTCAGCACATCCCTGTTAACCCTGCTGCTGGTGTGCAGAGCTGTAGGGACATGGGGATGGCCACTTGTCTGATCCAAAGGGATGGGGAGACCAAAACACCCCATCCTGCAAACAGCTCTGGCTGCAGCGCTGAGTTCATGGTGGCTTCCTACAAAGGTGGCAAAAGAGTTTCAGAATGGAGTTGATGTTATGGTGAATAAATGTCCTCATGGCTTTGCTGGCCTGCTGCCAGGGAAGTGGGTTAATGATGGGCTGTTCAGGATGCGTACAAACTCTTCCCTTAATATATAAAAGAGGGGCTTTGGGCAAGGGATGTAGGGGACAGGACAAGGGGAATGGCTTTAACCTGCCAGAGTGATTCTGGGATTTAAGGGGTGCCTGCCATTCTAGCCTTTGCCTCTAGGAGCTTAGATCCCAGCATGCCAGGTGAAATGGAGAGCTGGTAGGAAGCAATTCCTACTCCTTCAAAACTCCCTCCAACACATGTAGTGCATCGTCTATCAGCGGTTCAGCAGGGCAGTGGGATGCTGGTGCCTCGTACAGGAGCCACTGCATGGGGCCTTGCATTGAGGGGAGGTTTGTTGCTAAGGCAAATGACTGCATCAGGAGCATAACAAGTTGCTGCTTCTCCTGTTCTGGCTCCCACTGCTCTTCCCAGCTGCATTAGTGCCTTTAGATCATGAACCCTTTGGGAAGAGGAACGTGGATGTATCAGAAGCACCAGAGGGAGAAGGAGGTTTGAGAGGTTGTAAAACCTTATTTCACTGCTTGAAACAGAGGGGATTCTGACCTGAAATAAATGATTGCAAGCAAGATGTGACTCTTGTGGATTGCTTACGGTGCTGTTTTCTCCTTGGCTTTGCAGTGCCTTCTCCAAGTGCCTTGCTGATCGACAATCCCACATGCTTTGGAAACGCAAAGGAAGTGATAGCAATCAAAGATTACTGCCCAACTAATTTCACCACTTTGAAGTTCTCCAAGGGGGACCACCTTTATGTCTTAGACACATCAGGAGGGGAGTGGTGGTATGCTCACAACACCACCGAAATGGGTTACATCCCTTCCTCCTACGTCCAGCCTGTAAACTACCGCAACTCTTCCTTAACGGATAGTGGGATGATAGACAATCTACTGGAGAGCCCTGACGAGGGGGTCAAGGAGTTAGACCTGCTTGGAGAGTGGACTGACGTGAAAAGGAACTCTGGAAAACCCTACAGTAACAACCCATTCTTGAATGGTGTCCAGACAAACCCGTTTCTGAATGGGAATCTGCAGACAGTGCCCAGCTCGGACAGAGAATCCAACTCCAACGTCACTGTTGACTTGCTGCTCTTTGACACGGGGACCCCTGCTTCAGCTGCTTCCAGTTTGGCTGCTAATAGCAGCCTGGGTAACGTCTTTGATGAGTTTCCCTCTACAACCAGACTGGATCTGGAGCAGCCAGTGAGAAGGGATAATCCCTTCTTCAGGAGTAAGCGCTCCTACAGCTTGTCCGAACTGTCCGTTCTTCAGGCCAAGTCGGATGCTCCAGCATCATCAGGGTTCTTCAGCGGTCTGAAGTCTCCCACCCCTGAGCAGTTCCAGAGCCGGGAGGACTTTAGGACAGCGTGGTTGAACCACAGGAAGCTGGCTCGGTCTTGCCATGACTTGGATTTGCTTGGTCAAAATCCTGGCTGGGGTCAGACGCAACCGGTGGAGACCAACATTGTCTGCAAGCTGGATAGCTCTGGTGGGGCCGTTCAGCTTCCAGACACCAACATCAGCATCCGTGTGCCTGAAGGCCACGTGTGCCCTGGGGAAACGCAGCAGATCTCCATGAAGGCAATGCTGGATCCACCGCTGGAGCTGAACAGTGACAAGTGCAGCACCATCAGCCCGGTCCTGCAGATCAAACTGAGCAACATGGAGGTGAAAACCTTCATCATCCTGGAGATGAAAGTGTCAGCAGAGGTCAAGAACGACATCATGAGCAAGAGCTTGGTAGGTCTGCAGTGCCTGCGGAGTGACATGAAAGAGGGGCCATACACACCAATGCAGCTGAGCTACTCCTATGGGGACACAATCCAGGTGCAGCTGGAGAACCTGGAGCCTTGCATGTACATCGCAGCTGTAGCCCAGGGGCAGAACATCCTTTACCCTTACACAGTTTGGGATTACATCAGCAAGAAGATCACGGTTGGTGTCTACGGCCCAAAACACATTCACCCCTCCTTTAAAACTGTCGTGGCCATGTTCGGGCACGAGTGTGCACCTAAGACTCTCCTGGTGAATGAGGTCACAAGACAGTCCCACAGTCCAGCTCCTGTTGCCCTCCAGCTCTGGGGGAAGCATCAGTTTGCTCTGTCCCGGCCTCAGGACCTCAAGCTCTGCATGTTTTCCAACATGACCAACTACGAGGTGAAAGCTAGCGAGCAAGCCAAGATTGTGCGGGGCTTCCAGATGAAGCTGGGCAAGGTCAGCCGCCTCATCTTCCCCATTGCATCCCTTGATCCCAATGAGCTCTCGGACTTCACGCTAAGGATACAGGTCAAGGATGACAAGGATGCCATTTTGACCCAGTTCTGCGTCCAGACCCCACAGCCACCTCCAAAAAGTGCCATCAAACCAACGGGGCAGAGGCGGTTCCTCAAAAAGAATGAGGTTGGGAAGATCATCCTTTCACCTTTGGCTGCCACCACCAAGTATCCAGTTTTTCAGGACCGGCCAGTGTTGAGCCTGAAGTATGGCAAGCTGCTGAAGACAGTGGTAAGGCAAAGCAAGAACCACTATTTGCTGGAGTACAAGAAAGGAGATGTCATAGCCCTCCTCAGTGAGGAGAAGATGAGGTTGAAAGGGCAGCTGTGGACCAAGGAGTGGTACATTGGCTACTACCAGGGGAAAATAGGTCTTGTACACACCAAAAACGTGCTCGTGGTTGGGAAGGTCAAGCCCAGCTACTTCTCTGGGCCGGATCTGACCACTAGCCTATTGCTTGAGCAGATCCTGAGGCCATGCAAGTTCCTGACCTACATCTACGCCTCTGTGAGGACTCTGCTCATGGAGAACCTCAGTAGCTGGAGGTCTTTTGCCGATGCTCTGGGGTACTTGAACTTGCCACTCACCTTCTTCTGCCGAGCGGAGCTGGACAGTGAGCCGGAGCGAGTGGCCTCTGTGTTGGAGAAGCTGAAGGAAGACTGCAACAACAGCGAGAACAAGGAGAGGAAGTCTTTCCAGAAGGAGCTGATGACGGTGAGTCTGGGGTCTGATGAGGGGATCTCAGTTCCCTGCTGGGGGATATGGACATTGCCTCACTCAGTCTATAGGAAATCAAGTCCATCTCTAAGGTCTTCCACAGCCAGGTGGAAGTTCAACCCTGTCACTGTGCATGTTGGTGGGCTGCTGCTTTAATGGCAGTAAATGGGGCTTGTGCTGGGTGAAATGCCATGGGGACATGTTGTGTGAGGGCAGGCAACAGGCTTGCTTTGGAAGGAAGCTTATCTGAAGCCCCTCAAGATCAAGGTGATTTTGGTCCCACATCTACTTGATTGATCCCATTCAATGATGGATGCTTGTAGGAGTCACTCAGGAGCTGGTGGTTTCCTCAGTCCCTGTGTCAAAGTGTGCATCAATAAGGAAATACTAGTGGAAAAGCTGTCTGCACTTGGGATCTGAATTTAACAGGCAATTTAGGTGATCTTATGTTTGGAAGTCAGCTTGGTTTTGGGCAACTAAAGTAGTAACTTGTGAATGATCTATTAGTTGACATACATTCTCATAAACCATACTGAGTAATTGAATGTAATGAGTAAAGTCATCAAAACTGAAGCCTGTTCGTGGCTCATTTGTGAACTGACAAAGGAGCTGTGTCACTTGATGAGCATTTGGTTCCAAGGTGTATGCCTGGCTCTAGTTGCCAGCTTCAAGAGAGCAGGAAGTTTAGGGTTGAAACCCTTCCCAGAAAGGGTTGTCAAGCACTGCCCCGTCTCTTTTTGGGTGGCAGGTAAACCCAAGGTACCTCTGAGCTGGGATGCTTTATATCCAGCTGTGACTCATGTTTGCAGACTGAAATGCATGGCTCACTTCTGTCCTGAAAAACATTTAGGGAAGTGCTGCCTCTGAGTATTTCTAGGATGCATTAGGAAATCTCTTACAAGAAATCACCTTCATGATCTTTTCTAGCATTTTACAGAAACTGAGCCAAAGAAAATACAGGATGAAATGTCTGGAAGAGATTTGCAGCTCTCCTCTAAAAAGGCTGTCCTGTAGAAGCAGGATAACTGAGTTATAGGGAATTCTGTGGTTTAAGATGGCAACTGATTAAGGAATAGCAACAGCTTTATTTGGCGACGATGGGTGCAGGCAGCAGCAGTAAAATGATGTTGTGAGAAGGCAGCCTGGGTAAGGAGGACTGGGCCCCTCACTACCAGAGGGACATTGAGGTGTTGGAGCGGGGCCAGAGAAGGGCAATGGAGCTGGTGCAGGGCCTGGAGCACAAGTGTGATGGGGAACGGCTGAGGGACCTGGGGGGTTCAGTCTGGAGAAGAGAAGGCTCAGGGGAGACCTGATGGCTCCCTACAACTGCCTGACAGGAGGATGGAGCCAGGAGGGGCTGGGCTCTGCTCCCAAGGAACAAGGGATGGGACAAGAGGAAACAGCCTCAAGCTGCACCAGGGCAGGTTTAGATGCAGCTGAGGAACAATTCCTTCCCCAGAGGGTGCTCAGGCATTGGAACAGGCTGAACAGGGCAGGGCTGGAGTCACCGTTCCTTCACACCCCATGTAGATGAGGCCCTCAGTGCCATGGGTTAGTGGTGGCCTTGGCAGTGCTGGGGAACGGTTGGACTGGATGAGCTTAAAGGGCTTTTCCAACCTGGTTGATTCCATGCTTCTGTTTCATTTCCCAAAATTCCCTTAAATATAAGGGGGAAACCTGAGGCTGGAGTTTGAGGTGTGAGGTGTTACAAAGAGGATATAGTCCATCATTACTCATGGAAATACTGTCCAGCAAGTTCCCCGTGCCTGGGTACCACTTTGTGGCCCATGGGCATGTCAGGTGCCAGGTCATGCCACCACTGCTGCTTCTGTTGGTGGTTCTTCTTGCCATCATGTGAGGTTGTCTGTCTCCTTTCTGGGAGAGGAAAATACCCACTGTGGTAGTCAAGACTGGTGTCTGACCCCATGGTTTCCCTAAGGGAGGGTTTGTTGCTTTAATCATTAGCCTGAGTGAACAATGAGATGAAATCTGTGCTCCTCTTGCTGAATGCTCTCAAAGGCTTTGTGCTGTTTACCTTACCTGTAAGCATTCCTTTTATCTATTTCCTTTGTCTCCAGGGCCCCCAGATTGTCTATAGGTCATGGAAAATCTATGTCAGACCTCAGTGGGGAGAATAAGGGGAAGATAAAGCTCTTTGGGTACTCAGGGAACAGCTCCTTCAACGGGAGGGCTGTAAGCTGCAGGAAAACATCCTGCTCCCCAAGGGATGCCTGGAGTGCAGAGCTCCAGAGCAGGATTTATTTCCCTTGTTTGAATGGAGGCTAATCCCTAGTGTTGGCTTTGCTTGCTCTTCTTTGTGGGTCTGAGCCTGTCCATCAAGGATGAGCTCCCTTTCTGGTGGAAGATGCTGCTGCTTCTAAACCCCCTTGGTGCTGTCAAATTCTCCTGAACTTGGGGAGAAATGCAAGGTATTTTATTGTGTTTAAACCTGATTTGATTTGTAACAAAGGGACTTGCTTTCCGATGGCTGCTGGCAAGAACTGGTTGCACTAAGCTCTGATCTGACCATTCCTTGTCTCATCTCAAAGGGACTGTGAAGGGTGAAGTGGTGAGAGGAGGCTTATCTCCCTTGAGTGTTGAGTACACAGAACTGCAGTGGCAGAGCCATGCACCAGCTGCCAAGCATGGAAAAGCCTGATGATGGTGACTAGTTAATAAGTGACCTGCTTTTAATCATTACTGGTTTTAATAGAGCACCAGCAGTGCTTTGTGGAGGTAACTGGGGGAATGTTGCTCAGATATTAGCCTGGGCACTGATGCAAGAAGCAGCTGGGCCACCAGTAGCTGACCATGCAGTGACTGCACTACCCAGTCCTTCAGATGGACCTATGATGAGACAGAACAATTCTCTCTTTCTCTGCGTGTTTTTATAGAGCCACTCATTCATCATCTCTTTCCATCAGATGCTGCCATTGGGAAAAATATGGGTCTTCTGGGAATGCTGTTGGGCATGTCAGCAGGGAGCTGTGGTAATCAGGAACTCTTCTTCAGGCTACTTTTAAAGGTCATAGAGAAGATGATGTTGGGATCTTTTTCTCCCCATTCTTTTCTGTCACTTGCTCTGCATGCTGTTTGCCTTGTACTGAAAGATAATGCTTGTCCCTGGTGTGTGCAGGTCCCAGAAAGCTGCAGGCGAGCTTAAGCAGGGTGTCCATTGCTTGGACCTTGTTTTGGCACAGCAGAGCATGCCGACCAAGGTTGCTTATGTTGGGCCCCTCTTACTCCTCCATCCTAAAGCAGTCAGCTGGCTAATGGTAGTCCCTGTGCTGGATTTGAGTCCTGAGGGAAAGACTGACTCCTGCCCTTCTTCTGACTTCATGGGAACAAATCCCCATCACATGTATAGATCCTGGATGCTGCTTCCCTAAGGAGCCATGCTGCACCGTGCTGAAGACCCAAAAGAACTGGTATTTAAGATCATGTATAGTGCAGTATTTTGCACATGACTGGTGATTTCAAGGGTGCTTCAGCCAAAAGAAGGGAGTGAAAGAGATGCTTAATGCCTAAAGCAAGGGTTATTTTGGGAAGTGCTTGCACACAGCCAACTCCTGTATCCTGGAGAGGATGATGGAGATGGAAACCTGTGCATGAGCATCCTCTCCCCAGTGGGACTCACCAGCTGCTAGGGGTTATAGAGCCTTTCTCCCTGTGTTTAATGAGGTTCCAGGTGGGAGCTGTGTTGTGGTGCCAGCCTAGGCACGGTGCCTGCAGATGCAGGAGTGGACCATGAAGGTTGCAGTGATGGGTACAGGCAGGAGTTGGCCATGTATCTATAGGCAGTGTATGGAGCTTCCTTTACCTACTAGCCTGGCTTGCTTTCTTCCAGGTGCTGGTTTCCATTATTAGGGGACGGGAAATGGGATTCTGCATTTCAGAGCTGGGATGCAAATCCAGCCTCCCTTGGATGCCTTTTAAGTAGAGGCACTTCTACGCTGCTTTGAACTGGGATTTGAATATCAAACCACCTGCTTTACTTACCTGTCTGGTGGAGCTGGCTTGGAGCCCTTCTGAGGTTAATAAATGCTTTGGAGGGTGCTGGTGAGGCACAGCCCACATCACACCTCTGCAGGGAGCATGGCTGGGTATCGGGGGGGGGAATGAGGTGGCTGTTGCCCTGTTAATCCCAGTCAGTGCTTGCAGGAGAGCCCCATGTCTGCCCACATTCCATGGGGTTCTAGTGACAGGGGAGTAAGTTCTACCCAGGCTAAAAAGGCTGTGTTGCTGTTAACCACTACCCTTTGGCTCAGACCTTAGTGGCTTTGTCTCCTCCTTGTAGCCCGTCCCCACGTGGCTTTGGTGCTCTTCACATCTCCCATCACCTCTGCCCATTCTCCTGCCTGTTTTGCCCAGCCCACAATGTGCATGCTGAGCCTCCCCAGCTCAAATCATGGGGGACAAAGCAGAGGAAGGAGGTGGTTCTGTGGCCATCAGTAGGTTTCAGAGTTAACACTCACACTGCAGGGCGGGGAGCGATCCATCTCCTCCAGAACTGCTGCTTTGGGTCATTAGAGTGTCCCCAACTGCTTTGCTTGGTGGTGTTCTCTTGTTTATATTGAGCAGCAGAAGGAACAAGAGAATCTGTCTCCTGTAGCTTTATCCTTAACCCCAGCGATCCACCTGGCTCTTGGTGGCCTCTTCTGATGCCTCAGACCTGCTCAGCCTCTGGCAAGAGGTGGGAGTCGTCCATCTGCCTGGAAAGGCAGTTTTGAGGATGCTAAATCTTGCCCTTCCTTAGTATCATCCGGATCCTCTGCCTGCAGATGAGAAGGTGATGGATCCATGGGTTGGGTGGTGAGGAAGTGCTGCTGAGTAAGAACTTCTGGCACACAGGTGTGAGATCTAAATGCTGCTTAATGCCCTTAAAGAACGATGCTCTTTGAAATGCATTTTCCTTGCTTGCTTAACAAGAGGGTTTGTTACTTCATCTCACACAGGAAACCAGTGTAAGCACTTTGGAGGAGCAAACAAGCGCTGGGCTGCAGCTGTAATTAGAATGGAGCCCAGCTTTAAGCTGGAAGCAGATAAGGGAAAAATCAATGTGCATTTGCCTTGCAAATTGCTGGAGTGCTTTCAGATGTTCCCATCTTCCACCAAATGTCCCTGTGAGGATTTAACACTTGTTCTGCCCCAGAGCCAAACCCGCTGGGGTTTGCCCATAGCTCCATGGTGAAGGTATGAGTGGTGCTCCCAATAGGAACTAGCATGGTCCCTTGGTGCTTGGCATCCCTTGCGGGGCTGTCCCCTGCATCCCTGAGCTGTGCTTTGCTCTTCTGGAAGGGACACGTTGGAACACTGATGGGTGTGTTCACCCATCCCGAGTACACTGGTGCCACGACTCCAGATGTGGATGTAGGAAAACGAGGTATTCAGCAAATGAGCACCCAGGGCATGGTGTGGGATCTCTCTGCTTTAAAAAGGGGGATGCCATTTCCTTAATCCAAAACACCTTTCTGTAGGCACTTGAGGCTCGGGCTGGGATTTGCTCTGCTGAGGCTGTTGTGGTCCACAGGCTCTGGCAAAGGATGGGGGAGCCCTGGTGAGTGGGCTATTGATTGTGTTGGTCAGATCTTGTCCTCTGGGAATTGCTACTTAAACCCTTCCTTTCCTGGGCTGTGTTGTGTGGTTTATCCTATTTCACTTGGAGCAGATCTCTTAATGTTAATGGTTAGCTCCTCCCCTTGAGATAGGAGCTCTTATCCTCAAGACAACCCTGCTTTGTCATTTCTTTCCCTGGCTAAGTCATTGCCAGCTGGAAAACCAGGACTGCTGCTGTTCCTCTTCCTCCACTTCTTCCAAACCATGCAGAAAAATCTCAGCTTTTAGGTCCATAAATGATGGAGAAGGAGGAAGATTCTGAACTGGCATGGGGAGGCAGAGGAGCAGTGCGAAGAGCAAGAACAGCCCAAGCCAAGCCATGGTCCTGTACTGCTCTTAACTGGCCCTTTGCTTGGGTCTCACCCCAGCCCATCTCCTCCCCAAGGCTGATCATAGTGTAGAATCCCAGACTGGTTTGGGTTGGAAAGGACCTTAAAGCTCATCCAGTTCCAACCACCTGTGATACCTTCCAGTAGACCAGGCTGATCCAAGCCCCAGTTTCTTCAGCCTGGACCTTTGTCCAGGTCCCATCCCAAAGTGTTCTGGTTGGCTCATACCCACTGATGATGCTCTTCTGTGCTTGGGGAGAGAAGCTGCATGGACTGTGCTGGATTAATTACATTGATTAAAGGCATCTGTTCCTCTTAGCCCCTGGGATGCTTTAAACTGCTTATGGTGGCGCCTGAACATCTGGAGGGGTTGCCTGGAAAATGAGGCTGGGGTATGGTGCTCCATTCCATTAATGGGATTACCCTTCTGAGGAGCCTGGTGGCCTCATTTCACCAGCTGCTGCTCCAGAGGGGGTGGGAGGCTTTAGAGTGGCTTCTCAATGGACTTCTTCCCTGCATGGTTCCCTTCCTATTCCCGCTTTCCTTGACTCTCTCAGTTGGTTCTCACCCCTGTCCTTCAGGCCCTGCTGAAGATGGACTGCCAGGGGCTGGTGGTGCGGCTCATCCAGGACTTCGTGCTGCTCACCACAGCCGTGGAGGTGGCCCAGCGCTGGAGGGAGCTGGCTGAGAAGCTCACCAAGGTCTCCAAGCAGCAGATGGATGCGTACGAGGCCCCGCACCGGGACAAGACAGGGACAGTGGACAGCGAGGTGAGAGTGATGGAGCTTGGTCTCCATCCTTGGGTTGCAGGTACCTTCAGAGCGTGTTCTGCTGGAGCACCTTTGGGGGATAAGAGGGATTTGGGGATGGTGGAGAAGTTTTGGGGTATTCCTAGGAATGTGCTTGTTCTGGGATAGGGGTGCATTGGGTGTGCATTGGTTGATGCTTTCCAGCCAGCCTCTGCTCTGATCTGCTCCCTCTCTGCCCTGTGTCCCTGGAAGTGCTCACAAACCATGTAGACAAGGCTGTCAGTGACACGTTAGTGGTGGCCATGGCTGGACTTGATGATCTTAAAGGTCTTTTACAATGCGGTTGAGTCTCTGGTTCTCCGACCACAGGCCATGTGGAAGCCAGCGTACGACTTCCTTCTCACCTGGAGCAGCCAGATGGGCGACAGCTATCGCGACGTGATCCAGGAGCTGCACACTGGGCTAGACAAGATGAAGAACCCCATCACTAAGCGCTGGAAGCACCTCACTGGCACCCTGATCCTCGTCAACTCTTTGGACATGCTGCGAGCAGCTGCCTTCAGCCCACAGGACCATGAGGACTTTGCCATCTAGGTCCTGCAGCGCTGGTTTTGTCCGTATCTCCTTTGCTGGGGTGTTTATCCTGTGCTTTCCCCACCTTCTTTTTTAAGCAGTTGACTAAAAAGAGATGGAGGTTGTTGCTTTTCTCCACCAGGACTGGAAATCAGCAGGAGACATCCCTCCTTGATGGGAAGGCATCCATCAGGGAACGGCTTTTCCTATGGCATAGCTACCACTTGTTTCTTACTAAAAAACTTCCAAGGTGGGGAGGGACATGAGAGAGATCCCATTTTTTAGGCATTTACAAATAAAAGTCTACTTTTTGTAACAATCAGGAAAGGCTGGAACCACTTGGGGGGGGGGGAGGGGGGCTGTGTCTGGTTTTTACACTGTAGAAACCCCTTTTAAAGCATTTTGGAGCTGAATGTGAGTCGTGTAAATGTGTCTTTCGAAGAGACAGCACAGTCAATGCCCACGGGCAGGCTGCCAGGCAGTGAAGCACGATTGAAGCTCAGGATGTCCTCAGCCCAACAGCATCTTCCACCAAAAACGGTTTATTTCAACAGGGAATGTTTAAGTGCTCACACACCGTGTAGACGAGGCCCTCAGTGCCATGGGTTAGTGGTGGCCTTGGCAGTGCTGGGGAATGGTTGGACTGGATGAGCTTAAAGGGCTCTTCCAACCTGGTTGATCTGTGATTCTCCGATTTCAGGTTTTGTTCTCAATTTCATTATTTCTGTTTGATTTGCATGTCTGCAAATCCATGTTTTCTTATGGCAGGGGTTGGAACTGGATGGTCTTAAAGTCCTTTCCAACCCAAACCAGTCTGGGATTCAGGGGTGCTCTGGTCATGTTCCTCTTTGCTCCTACCTGGTCTGGGAAAGAAGGGCACCAGTCTCTGATTTAGGCTGACTGACTCCCTTTTAGCACTTCAACTTCCAAGGAAGGATTTGGCTGCTTTTTCCCCTTGGGCCAATGAATGAAAGGAACCAACTCCTTCAGCACCAGTCCCCTTGCAAGTGCATTCACACCACTTCCTCCTCTGCTTCAGCCAGCACAACGGAATGATCATCTCACAGCAGCTCAGCATTAATGACTGAAGATGGTGTGTTAGAAGGGGAGAGGGAAGGAAAGTCACCTCTGGGTTATCAGTGTCTGTACAGAAGAGCTGGTTTATCCATGAGGTTTGCTTTGTCCTCGCCAATGCTTGGTGTCTGCACATCCAGCTCAGTTTGCGATGAGAACCAGCGCCTGATTAAAAGCCCTGGAGCTCTGTGGGCATCTATTTCCATCCCTAGAAATCCCCACTGAAAAGCAATTGCTTTGCTTCCTTTCCAGCTCTTAATTAAATGCTCGTCTTGGATGAGCTGCTGTCAGGATACCCCTGTTTTGCAACAGGAGGAGCTGATCACAAGTGCTTAGAGGAGAGGAGGTGGTTCAAGGGCTGCTCATAGGTTTGCCTCTTAGGGCAGGTTTCTTTGTCACCAAAGTCTAACCAAAGTTTCCTTGTCTGCTGGACCCTTTTGCATCTTAATATCCCAAAGCCACCTTCTTCAGGCCTGATCCCTTGGAAAACATGGGCTTGAATGACTGTAAATGGATGGAGGTGGTGTTCATCCCATCATGCGTTCCCAGGGTGACCCTCTCAAGCCTCCTGTTGGAAGCCCTTTGTTCTCATAACAGGCTTTACACAGAGCATCCCCTGGGGCTCACCTCTTAATCCACTGGTGAAATCCATGGACTTTCAAGCTACAGGTGACACATTTAGTCTTCTTCATTATAACGGAGGGGAGGAGTGGGGGGTGTAGGAAGGCAAGCTGTAAAGGCATGCTTTTCCCAAAGGCTGTGTGTAGAGAAGTCTGGCCAAAACCCAAGCAAGCTTCACTCACTGAGCAGTCAAGGGGTGACTGATGGTTTGATTTGGGGTGAAAGGACCCTGATGTCCTGCATGGAAAGGAAGGAGTCTTAGGCTGGGGAGATGAATGTGTTGTTTTGATACTGCTTACCAGACTCACTCCATGCTGGGTTGTGGTTTCCCCTTCTTTCCCCACCCCTTACAATCACTGGACCCTTTCTCTACATGAAATCATTCTGCACCCGCTCTAAGCAGTTCAGATCAACCATTTGTGGCCAAAATTCAATGGGGCACCCCCACCATCTACTTGAGCAGCCTCAGGAAGGTGCCAAACCCCAGTTCCTGCCCTGCTGTGATTACCCCTCACTGAATGGTAATTAAAGCTTCCAGCAGATGCTTTGCAAAGCCTGGTCCCTCGCTGGGTGGGATGCTTGGTAACAGATGTAGCTTGCTTGGCTCTGCCCTAGCCAAGAGGGAAATGTCACCCCCTCATAAGGCTGGGAGCATATCAAGGCGGAAATCTGCTCCATTTACTCAGGCAGGCTCTTGAAGCCGGGTCATGCCATAGGATAAGCCGGCCAGCGTGTGCTGGCAGGGATTTAGGATTTGCTGGTGACTGAGCAGCCTATTCTGATGACTTGCTTTTATCATCCTAAGCAATCAGATCTGGTGTATGAAACCTTTCACCCTTCCTTAATGGGAAGGGAATTGATGCTGGGAGCACTTGCTAGTACCTGTCAAGCAATGTGTGTGCAACAGCAGCTTATAGGGAGAGCCCTGACACCTACCATAGGCAGGGTGGGAGTCCGCACTGGGACAGATGAGCTCGGAGACATCCTTGCCTCTCCCAGAAGTACCAGCATCCTCGAGCAGTGAGGAAACTATTGGTGATGGGTTTACACTTAAACAGGGGAAGTTCAGGTTGGATATAAGGAAGAAGTTCTTCTGTGTGAGGCTGGTGAGCTGCTGGCACATTCTTCTGGGGGAGCCTGTCCTGCATGGTTTGGTTCACTTTGGCCATGGGTTTTCCCCAGGTTTCATCACCTCACCTATAAATAACCTCTAACCGCACCTCTGCAGGTGAATTCATTGTTGTGGCTGCTAAAAGGACCTGGCTTGCTCTCGCCTGGGGACTGGTGCTGGACCAAGTGGCAGCATGTCATGGGATGGGACATCTCTGGTGCCAAACCCCACTGGGATGCTGCATGGGGATCTGCAGGGGTATAGCTCCAGAGAAGGATGCAGAAGTGATGGCAGCATCACCCCTGCACTGCTCCCACCCTTTCACGGAGGAGGGCAGAGCTCTGGACCATCACAGACATGGTGCCTGCAATCCTGAAGCAACTTGGTGGATGCACATGGGTTTGGGGTGGGGGGTTTTGAGTTTGGGATGTTTTCTTGAGGAGGGGTGTTCTTGTTTATTCTTGTTTTGCTGTTGAATGGGGCTGGTGCTGCTCTTGGCAGGTTGCATTGCCTTGCCTCTATTCCATGTTTACTCAGCTTGAGCTTTCAGTGCTTTCCAACAGTGTGAAGCAAGGCTGAAAGGGGGTTTGGGAGCTCGCATGAAACCCCCCCATGACAACTGGAGTTCTGGCTGGCTGCTGCAGCAGGTATTTACTTCTTAAATCAAGTGAAGTCATTGCAGTGTGAGCATAAAAATGGGAGCAAGCAGGGCAAGGCAGCACTGGGATCCGTGTACTGGTGGCTGCACTGGGCACCCTGCACAGTGCAGGTGGATGGGGGATGCTCACTGGGAGGTCACTGCTGTTTCTTGCTCTTTGACCATCAGTTTGTGCCTCCTTCCTGCAAGGGCAGAGAAGGGATTTTGGCTCCTATCTGTTGGCAGGTGTCTAAAAGCGGAGATTTAAGGGTTTGCTGACAAAGCTCAGGCTGCGGTGCCTGGACACTGGAGTGAGGTGAAGCCTGTGCAGCACAGGGAGAGGAGCAGTGGTCGTTCCTGCGTCAGTTTCCCCTTTTCGAAAGTGACCAGAGATGATTGCCCCACACCCTCTGGCTCCTCGCTCACTCTGAAATCCATCCCTGAGCAGCAGGGTCCATATTCAGGGAGCATAGATGGGTAACCAAGTCACTAGAACTTCCCCAGGCCTTGGTGGGGAAAGATGTTCTTGCTCCTTCCTGTCAGTGACAGCATTAATGATACTGGACTGCCCTCTGCTGGGCACAGCTGAAACGACACAAACCTTGCACATTCCCAAGATCCTTTTCTCTCCATCTCATTTTTCCAAGGAAAAAGGAGGAGCAGGACTAAAGAGGCGAGGCTAAGGAGAGCTAAGGGAAAAGGAGAAGAGGAGGACACCTGGTTTCTGCTGCTGTTTTGCTTTAGCTGTGTTCAAGTTCTTTCTAGAAGACATGGGATGGATATTTTTAGTCTCGCTCCCTTTCTTTTACTTCCTACACAAGAGTTTTTTTAGTTAAACTATAACAAAGCCAATTAAGACTAATTCTTTCTAACTCTGTTCATCTGATCTGAAATCAAGGGCGTTTTCTCTTGTCCATGCAGAGAAAGTCACTGGATGGACCATGGGGGCATCCAGAGATGTCACTGCAGGAACTGCGTGGAGCTGCAAAAGCTGCACCTTAAAAGCAGGTCAGCAGCTCTCAGGCACAGTGGAGACTCTCTGTATGACCCAGAGAAGCGTTTCCTTTTGTTTACTAGGGGCAGGAGGAGGGGAGGCAAAGGCAGAAGATGAAAGGTCCTGAACAGGTTGCACTGGCATGGGTGCCCCCAGGAATGGGGGGCAATGGGGACAGGCTGAGGAGAAGATGGACTGTCTTCTTGAGCTTCACAGCTCTCACTGAAGTAACCTGCTTTTCCAAATAGCAATAGAAAAGAACAGCAGCAGGTACCTAGCTGGATGCCTGTGCAAGATATACTAGGATGTTCCAGTCTGGTTTAAGCCCTCAGTATTAACTTTAAAGTCTTTTCTGACTTTTTAGCAGTGGGAACTGTGGCAGCCTCGAGAGATAACCTCTCAGCAAGGACCGAGTCACCAAGTAGTGATGCTGAGAACTGGCTTTTGTGCATTGAGGTAGCTTCCACACTGTGAGGCTTCTCCAGCTCTCTCCCCATGATTGAACAAGCTTTCCCTTCTCCAGCCCCATATCTCTCAAGTTAGAAAACACAAGAATCATTATTGTTAGTACTGGGGATTTATTTATAAGGCTGGGCTTTGGGTCTCCACCTGAACAACATTTACAACGAGTAGTAAATCAGTTGGGTTTTATAAACAAGGATGCTTACAGAGCTCTGATCACCTAACAGGTAAGCTTCAGATACAGCACTCTGCCTGATGGGGAACTCACCACAATGACTTCCCTGCCAAAATATTAGTTTTGTTTAGAGGACTGTATGCACACACAAAACCTATGTAAGATGTGCATCTAGCTAGCTTATGTGACACGTATTGTCAGTGTATAACACTTGCCTCTTATTTAACAACAGCTATACAGAGGTTTTGAAGTGCTTGATAAACCTGACAGCCTTAAACTAGAGCAAATTGTTCTCCTAAAGCCCTTGAAGCAAAATCTCATGAAATCCCTATATATATGTATGTGTATATATATATATATATATGTCTCCATTGCAATAGAGGTAAAAAAAGGAAGTCAACGTGTATCCTCTGTACACCAAGATGTGGAAGCCAAGAGCCTTGGACTTAACACTGGTATCTTTCCAAGTGACTGAAGTGCTCCTATACAAAGTAATTTTAATAAACAATTCTTAATTAAAGGCAACAATTATATCAGTGAAAACAACCCCTCCCATGGTACTAGCTTAAAGGAACTATTATTTCTTGACTGAAAGTCAGCAATCAGTGAAATTTGGGATGGTCTCTGATCATGTGGTCTGGAGCAGAGGTTTATCTCCTACCATTGATTTCAGCTGCTAGTGGGACTTGGATTTGGTTGGCTTTCTTGTTCTTCCCTTCTTACAGCAGCACCTGCGGCAGCAGAACAGGCAGCACTTCAGAGAAATGAAGAGGGAGAGGAGGACCACGACGATGAGGAAGGCTATGACGTCCAGAGAGTGGTACTGGATCCAGTTCAGGTCATGAGCAGCAGGTCGGAGGTGTGGGGCTCCTTTGTGTCTCATTACAAACTCCACCCAGTGCACAGCCAGGTCCATGGGGTGGATGGGCCTGTCGAGGTGAAGGTCTGAGAGACGCTTGATGTTCTCTTTGTACCTGTCAAGACAAGATGTTCAGTGCTTTCAGTGACTTGTTTTTCTGAGACTGTGGCCCCAGAGGAAAGGGATGTGGTGTTATTTGGCTTATAGCTCACTGGGTGTTTCTGCGTTGGTGTTTCCCCACCACTCCACGAGAAGGATAATAGCAAAGTTATGGGCCCAGAAAAGTGCTGTTTTCAATGGCAAAAACAGAGGGAAAGGTTTTAGGAAAGAAGAAAAAGGAAAAGCTTAGTTTGAGCTGTTACCAGAATCTCTGGGGTGAAGGTATCTGGTTGAAATTTGACTGACTGTAGAAAAACCATCCAGTTTTTCAAGCTCAAGATGCATTGTTATTACTGTTGTTATCATTGCTGTAAGAATACTGCTTAGGAAGCAGTGACAATAAGGTGCCATATCTCAGAAACATGATGGGAGAGAGGATGCCAAATACTGAGAAGCCCTCAGAAAAGCAGGGAAGAGGAGGATATGTCATAGAATCATAGAATGGTTAGGGCTGTAAAGGACCTTAAGATCTGTTTCCAAACCCCTGCCTATGGCAGGAGGGTCTTGAAGCACCCCTTCAGCGTGATGCCTTAAAAAACCTTGGGCATGCTAACTGTAATGCAGTGGTGTCTAGAGTAGTCTCCTGTACTGCCTCAGCATACTCTTGCATGTTCCTCCAGCTCTGTGCTGGAATTGTCCAGATTTGCCAAGCCAGGCAGCAGTCACTGTGCTCATACAAGCACTGGGAGGGGATATGACTGAGAAAGCCTGTCTGTAAATGAGGTCTGTTTAATAAACCCTGAAGCTGGAAGGCAACGCTTCCTGATGCAGCACAGCCACTCAACTACACTGAGGCACCTTCAGTTGCCTTTCTTTGGGATATCTTCATGCATAGAGGATTAGCCAGGCAGCTGCGCCTTTCAGCCTTTTCAGGCTCCACTGACTCATGACACGACCAATTTGGGGAACAAAACCAGTTTGCACACATCTCCCTTCACCAATTGCCTTTTCTGCTATGTTGTATCAAAGCCCTCTACATCACTGCCTGGTCAATTTGGCTTTGTGCTCATCTTTCGTCAACTTGATTTCTTTCATTGCATATATAGCCCATCTTCTCTGATACGTGAATCCTCTCATATCAGCTGGTTCTTGTCACCTAATGCTTGTATTCCTGAGCAGCGAGAAGGACAGTGCTGTTACAGGGACAGGATGAGGTTAACCCAGGGCCAGCATCAGCCTCTCAGTGATGTAACTTTGATATAAGAAGGCATATAAGAACAGCTTAACATTCTGTTAAGCTGGAAGCTAGCATGGTGTTGTTAGATGAGAGTAGAAGGAGAACAGCTGTGTTTCTATTACTGACTTTTTATCATTAATAACTGCTTGCAGGGCAGTGGATATGTCCTGTGTAGTCATTTCAAGTATATTCAGTGTCAGTCCTGCTCCCCGTGACTCTATTCGCTTGGCGTTGTCCATCTGGTCTCCAAATAAAGGCATCAGCACCATTGGCACTGCGTTGCATATGCCCTCGTAAATGCCATGGGAGCCTCCGTGGGTAATAAAGGCACGAGTCTTAGGGTGAGCTGTGGATGAAAGAAAGACTTGCTTAGCTCTTTGATTTAGGAAGTCACAGTAACACATCTCTAGGGAAAAACTGCCACAGAAAATGGGACTGGTAGGTGTCAGTCAAGAACTTTGTGTTGCCCTGTGCATCATTACTTATGACTGGAGGCTAGGCAGAGATAAAGACCTCCATTTTTGATAATAAGGGGAGTCAAGTGTTGGGACAACTTTCCAAACAGAGTTGTTTCATAAGTCAGTGTTTTTGAAGGTGCAATCAGATACATTTCTAAGAGACAAGCTCTGTTTCAAACAGCAAAGGCTGATAAGGAAGCCCTGTGACCCACAGTGATGCAGGGAGTCAGCATAAATGATGCCAGTATTGCCTTACAGCAGCAGTATGGGATTGAAAGCAACATGCTCGTATCACTCAAGGTATCTCATACCTACCTAGAAGGTCATTCTGGGGCAGCCATTTGACAAGCTTTATGTTCTTCGGCATGTCGGGTGGCACCTTTCCTGTGTATCGCCACAAAACCTTGCAAGAGAAGTAACCAACATATCAGTTCTCAGCAAGTGGCTTCTTGCTGCTCCTCAGTGGGTTTTCTGGCATCAGGGAGCACGAGAAAGAAGAGAGGAGCAAGCCCACTGAAAGCTGAAGGTAATCATGTACCGTGTTTGAAAACCATGTTGGATTGCTGTGCTGCAAGAGGAGGAGGAAAACCATACCGTTTGAGGGACTGTTCCCAAGGCATCTGCAATTTCTTTGGCTTTCTTCATAGGGATCTCAGAGACCATGGAGCCCAGGGAGAAGACAATGATGCCATGTTCTCCAGAGGCATTCACAATAGCTTCGAATTCCTGCCAACACAAAGCACATCCTTAGTCAAAGTCCTTTTCATGTCATATGCCGTAGGTTCTGTCATGTTCCCACAAAACTGTCAAGAAAGGCAAGAAAATAAGCGGTCAACACAACAAAATGTTGATCAGGAAAATTAATTATCTATATATCTATGTATATCCATAACCTGTTTAGCATGGAGAAGCTTGAGTGGAGACCTCAGAGCAGCTTCCAGTATCTGAAGGGGGCTACAAGGATTCAGAGAGGGACTCTTCATCAGGGACTGTAGTCAAGGGATAAAGGGTGATGGGTTCAAACTGAAACAGGGGAAGTTCAGGTTGGAGATAAGGCAGAAGCTCTTCCCTGTGAGGGTGCTGAGGTGCTGGCACAGGGTGCCCAGAGAAGCTGTGGCTGCCCCATCCCTGGCAGTGTTCAGGGGCTTGGAGCAACCTGCTCTAGTGGAAGGTGTCCCTGCTTGTGACAGGGGTTGGAGCTGAATGAGCTTTAAGGTCCCTTCCAACCCAAACCAGTCTGGGATTCTGTGATTCTATATGAAAATGAGTCCCAGGGAGAAAAGAAATAGGCACATGTGGCTAACAAATTTAAGGAGGTGCCTGAGTGTTGGCAGAATTGAAGCCTGAACCGAGATTCAGGAGGGAAGTGAGAAAAGACTGACTTTAAACCAGTCCTGTGGCATAGTCTGCATGCTCCAAGACATCAGTGTCTGTGCTTCAAAAAAAGATGCTGGAGCAATTAAGGAGATGAAGTCATCATCAGACTTTTCCTGGCAACCAGCCCCCAGGTGACTACACCGTGGTTTATTTTCCTATTCATTGCAATCACATGCTCTGGATGTAGAGTTGATATTCTTCTTTTCATACCATGCAGCTGCAAGAGAGAATGAAGATTGGTTTTAAAGGTGTTCTAATAGCAGATAGTTGTAACTTCTACTTACCTGGATTTACTGGGTCTGCTTTGAGTAATGGCAATATTGAACCACTGCCAGGTTTTAATCTGTTTTGGTCAGTTGATTTAACTAATAGAAGGACTAAGTCTGTCACTTGAATCCAAGAACAGAGGGATTCTAATGAAGCATAAAACCAGCCAAAGGCTGGAGCAAAAATCCTGTGCCATTGAGAACTATTTGGTAAAGCCAGGAAGGAAAGACAAAACCAGAGGGAATTGTTGCAGGCCTCAAAGTTAAATTAACGGACTAAAATGAACTAGATGTTCCTGTAAGTCTGTTGGAATCTCACCTTTGGGATCTAAGGGGATAACTGAGGTTGACTCCCTTAGTTTATGAGTGCCCTGGCCCTTCACTTGAGACTGTGTCCCAGACAGAAGGAGCCATCAAAGGTTTGGTGATAGTTGCACCCTCAAGAGCAGACCTGATGCTCTCCTGGGGCCAAAGAAGATGAATTGTAACTCTAATTTCAGGGCTTAGTTCTCTCTTACTAGATTTCTCTGAAGAGATGCTCTCCATCTGCATTAAGGCATCGTAGATGGGAACTTAATGATTGGGAACTCTGCCCTTGCTTCTGTATAAACTGCCAGACATCTGGGAACTGCAGAATCCTCCCCATGCTACAAATGTGCTTTTCATACCAATTCTTTGGGCAGTGGGTGACTTGCTTCCTGCAGTTCCGGATGCAGTGGAACACATAGAGCTATTCCAAGGCCTATTTATATTCTGTGGGACCAGTCACATCAGTGTTCTTCTGTTCTTTGAGTGCTTTTGTGTGCCAAGGTCAGACTTCCTGCTCTGAAGTGCCACTAATTTTAGGGAATGTTTTGCAGCCCTGCTTTGGGAATAGAAAATCACCTAAAATAACCTTATTTTAGTAGTCTTTTTTAGGATCTGCTCCTCTTGGTGGGTGCCACACACATCTCTAAAATACCTGACGAAATAAGAGAAAGCATTAAGAATGAGCAGGATTTCTTAGTGGAAAGTGGCAAATATACTGTATATTTAGGAATTCTGGCATAGTTCAAGCAAAATACAATTGCAGTCCAGCTCTGGGACACAGTATTTGACCCAGAATAAGCAGATCTCTAGCTGGGTGCTGGGGATTCCACTTGCTGCCAGAATTTCCTGCAGAAATCCACCAGGATGTGGCTTGCTGCATTGCCCCAGCTAGCACGAAGTTTTGTAAACTGGTACACAAATGAAAGCCACTGGAAATAGGCAGCTTCCTTTGGGGAAGGAATTGTTCCTAATCTCCATCTAACCTTCCCTTGGCACACCTTGAGGCCGTTTCCTCTTGTTCTGTCATTTGTTCCTTGGGAGAAGAGACCGACCCCCCCGCCTCACTACAACCTTCTTTCAGGTATAGAGGACGTTAGTGCACAACGGGACGAACTGCGAAGTGTTTGCTTTAGTAGCACCTTCCGCTTCGTTCTTTCTGCCGGGAGCTCCATCTCCTGGTGAGAACGAGCTAAACTCGTCAGCAGTCAGAGTTAAACTAAAGGGGGGAAAAAGCAAACTAACCTGGGATAATGCTTTTTTCTGAGTGCAGCTTATGCCCCCGATCAAGACCATATTAGGCATTAAGGGTCTGGGATACTCAAACACAAAGTCGTATTTCATGAGCCAAATAGATGCATGGCTTAAGAGCTCAAGCAGTGTTGCCTCTCGTTGGAGGAATTCTTTGATCACACTATTGTATGGTGCATAAAGGAAACTGCAAAGCAGGGAACCGCTCAGGCTAGCAAGGAGGTTGCCCACACGCTGGAGAAACCTCATGCGGTCCGTGTAGCGAGTGAAGAACCTCGGAATGTAGGAAGGAGGATGTGGACAGAGGGTAGCGTGGAAGTCTAGGCTGCATGGCAGTCCCCGCACGAGGTACACAGAAGGGAGGGAGAGATGTTCAGCCACTATTTGTCCACATGGAAAAAAAGGATCCATAAAGACAGCATCAAATTTGCTTTCTTCAAGGGATTCAATCAGCTCTTTGTTACCCAGGAGACGTTTGCAGGAATCCAAGAAAAGAGATGACATATTTGCCAAATTGGAGAATTTTGCTGAGAAGGGTTGAGGTGTGAAGCTCCTATAGCCCAGCTTTTTAAACTCTGCCTCCACAAACTCCTTGGTGTAAGACACAGGGTATGTTTTCATTGTATAATGCCCCGACAAACCTATCCGCAAGTTTATCTCTGGCGCAAGCACCACGATCTCATGTCCCCTGTGTCGGAGCTGCTCCACAACCGGGCACATGCTGAGCCAGTGGCTGCCATCGATGGGTATAACCAAGAGCTTTCCACCTTCAGCAAAGGTCCACAGGAGCAGGAAAAGCACAAGCCAGGAGGCAAGAGAATGAAATCCTACATTTGAAGAAGCCATTTCCCTTGTGCTGTCAGCAAAGTGTTAAAGAGCTTCCAAACTATTGCAGGGGATGAGGGTTGAATCAGGGGGTACTTTGAACTTTAATCTTAACAGAGGGGTTTAATTTTTAATGGGCTGGCTGTCTTTAGGCAGAAATTAGGATAATTTTTAACTGGGACTAAAGATTGGGTTTATCATCTTCATGAAGGCTTTAAGTGGGCACTGAATGCTTGAATTAACAGGAGAGGGTTCAAATGTGAGAGGGAGCACGTGGCACTGAAAGGCTGCACAAAAGTCATGAATGGGAGGTAACACCTGAGCCAGCAATCAGTGTTTCACTAACACTCAGTTAATGATCAGCTCCCTGCCTTGAGTCTGCTCAGCTGATTGGACACAAAACTCGGAATAAAAGCTTGACCTTTGGAATACTTTATGCTCCACAAAGGCTAACCAAGAAGCAATGACTGTCAGAGATTTGATACGGAGTGAGTTGATAAGGTTTCTTTCTGTATTATAGCAGTTATCAAAGTAAAAGCCCTCACTCTACAGCAGTACATGTGATGGTGTAAGCTTAGCAATAACTTCTGCTGTTGCAACACCACTGTGGTCTGGAAAACAGAATAAACCATTGACACCTGCACTACCTGCAGAGCCACTTGGGAGACTTAAAACAAGGAGGGATGGTTGGTAATTAGAATCCCAAGGGCTTCTTTTTCCAAGCATTCTCTTATATGTTCCCTTGTATTAGTTCTTATACAAATTCAGAGGCAAAAGAGCTCCCTCTAATGTCTTTGCATATCCCTGGTTTTAGGGTATTCAAGCACATTATCAGGCTCTACAGCACAGTAGAAGTGCCTGGGTATATCCACAGAGTTAAATCCACATTTCCATGTTTTGGCCAATCAAATCTCCTGCAGTATTCAACTGTTAGATTATCTGATCTAGAATTATTTTGCTATTTGTCTAGCTATAGCATACATTCCATGAGGGTAGATTGAGAAGAGACATTAGGAAGAAGTTCTTCCCTGTGAGGGTAGTAAGGCCCTGGCACAGGTTGCCCAGAGAAGCTATGATTATAGTGATATGCTTACAATAAGTTAAGCTATACCTAGGCAGCTACATAGCTTACTCAACTTCACCTAAGCTCTCCTGAAGAGAAACCCTTCAGCTGCTTGTAATGCAGGTCTGGTGATCATCTACAAGAGCCTGAGATTTTTGCTCCCAGATCATGCCATCCTGCTAGTCAATCACATATTGGCTCAAGCACAAATACTACTATAGGAAGTATATCTTAAATAATTGCTAATAAATGCTATATTTAAAATCAGTATCTGCTAAATGTCATATATATGATCACTGTGAACCACAACAAACCTCTGATAATGGCTGCTTCTGCTTACAGTTGATGCCTCCAACATAGACCATGTTTGGCATTATTGGGCGCGGATACTCAAAAACAAAGTCGTATCTCATCAGATAAACGGATGCTTGGCTAAATAGTTGCAGCATTGTTACTTCTCTGCGAAGAAACTCAGAAGCTAAGTTCTTGTAGTTTAAGTAAAACAGGTCGCAGAACACGTGCTCTGAAGCCCCAATCAGGAAGTTCTTCACACGCTCTGTAAATGTCATGTTATCTGAGCTGTATGTGAAAATCTTTGGCACATAAGAAGAAGGACTTGGACACTGGGTGGCTTTGTA